ATTAACACCTGCTTTTACAGTGACTCAAAACTGGTTTCTTTATGAACGCTTTAAGAAATTCCTTGAGAAAACCTACATCAAACAGTCCCATTAAACATGATGATAACACTCTAAGGAAAATCTCCCCGTGTCCGCACAGAAGATTAGAAAGAAATCTTTGGGTGAGGTGACTTGGTTCTCCTTTTGACTTTACTATACTTTCCAAATCTTTAATAACCATTATTTCACTTTTAATGAAAAAGCAAATTTTACTTCTAAAAAGTTAGTGTCTTGAAGAAATTACATTAAAAATATAAATTTCAAACTCTTCATTTACCTCTAAAGCAGTTAAGTTTTACTGAGTGTACAGCTCAGAACCTGTAGTACTTGAATGTGGGCCTCAAGATCTCTTCTAGGTATTTACCTTAAACTTTTTTTTTTTATTAAATGAGTAATTTATTGGCTTTAGAATTATTCCTATTTGGGAATTTACAAGGTACTTTAAAAGCTGGAAATTTGACCAGAATATACATTAATCACATTTTTTCTAAATAATACATATTTTCAAGGTATTATAACAGTACTGTAATTTTATCTTTAAATCAGATATAGACTAGCCATTATGAAGTTTCCATGCAATTTGTATTATTCCATTGATACTGTACTTGATATACATTATTTATTAAAAAATGTGCTTTGAAAGCATAGTTAATATTAACTAAAATGCTTCATAAAGTTATCTGGTTTTTGAGTCATCATTTAGATATTCTTATTTGTTATTGCTGTGAACATGTGAATAACATTTAAAAACAATAAAGCCTGAAATGATCCCAATCCACATCCTCCTCACATTTATTTACTCCATTTGTCACTTGACATGAATCTTGGGTCAATTAGCCTTCTGTGCCAGCATTGAGTAGAATGGGCAGCACTTCTGAGTACAGTGAAGCAGCTGTGTTGGAGTGTTAGACATCAGCCTACCCTGAGATCCTCATTTAACTTAGTGTTCCAGCATATTAGTGCTTACTGTTATGTAATTGCTGAATACACATTCAATTTTGTTTAGAAATCTTATCTGGGACAAAACTCCTCAAGCCTGCAGCTTCAGGTAGACCAGCTCCCCAAACTGAAAGCTGCCTGACTCCTGAGAAGTCTGCACATCCTGCAGAAACAGGGTCCTGTGTTCAGTCTCGGAATGTAGGTATTGGATTTCCAAAGAATATTCATAATTTTTTATGTTCTATAATTATGTCAAAACTGAATTATAAATAATGAAATACATGAAGTTTCTTTTGTATCAAGAGTGATATCCTAATCACTCATATGGGGCATTGGTTTTCTTACATAGAACAGTGTTAACCGTATCATTTTGGGTTTTTTTTTTCCTAACCACCTGTGTTTGAATCTAATATGTAAATCTGCTACAATGAAGTAATGCTCTTCCTTAAAAGGATTCTTCAGGATGCCATGGTGGGATAAAGGAGACAGAACTAATTATGTTTAAAAGAGTTCAGGAAGCAGAGGAAAAATGGAGGGGGGCACAAGCCCTAATTGACCAAATTAAAGTCACATTCTCAGAAAAGGAGA